TTACTACTGAAAGTTCAGTATTGTAAATTAGTAACGGAGGGGTAAATATACTACTGATACTGTGCTATTAATAGTAAACCATATGATGTCGATTGACAATTGGAAACGCATTCAGAAAAAAAATTGTTGAAATATGTCGGATAATCAAAACACAATTTTTCATAAATAAATATCGGATAGGATTAGACACAATATCATTACTCATACATATTAGATATTATTATTATTCTATGTCAAAATGTTTAATCAAAATAAATCGAGAGTATACAATTACGAAGCAAATTGTAATCTCAAAAACAACCGTCACGTTTTTCTTAATATTATCTTATTTCGCATTGATTTTCAATCTGAATAGCTTTTAGAAATTCTAAAAACAGATTGTTACTATGATGCAATCATTAATAAAAATAGGAGAGATGTTATAAATTATCGGGGAACTTCGAACCTTCTTATATAGCCGATTACTTCATGATGGCAATATTACATAGACATACACAACAACAAAACTGTGATTCAGAAAAAAGCAGTTACTACAACCGAGCCTATTTTGTTTTGTCTAAATAACTCAAATAAGAAACAGAAGTGTATGACCATTCAGCCTAATAGAAATGTAATTAAGTAAAACACCGAGTACTGTTGAATTTCCTATGACTTTGTGACTGATGTCAACTTGTGGTAGCTATATATTGATGAAAAACAGAATTTAAAAGTTATGCCCCAATAACGCGTCTCTATACAAACAATCTATACTGGGGCATTCGAAATAAACTGTGTTGTGTAGTGAATATCCGTATTAAGAAACAAACAAATAAAAAAATAATAGAGTAAAAGTTTTTTCTAAAACACAATCAGGGTGGACTTTTCATTATAAGTACTCTATATCGTGCATACTTCTACTCTGTATGAAATCGATAAGAACGTTATTATTACCAGGCAAATACACATTATATTTATACCAAGCTAATATATATGTATATAATTGTCTGTAAAATGAGATAGTATTACTATGGGAAACCATACTACTGAGAGAAAAACTTGATCCAAATACATATTAGTGGGATAAATCTACAAAATATTCAATATAATCTACTCAATCAAATACACGTTCGTGTACTCGGCTTTGAGTTACACTTCCAATTAGATTTGGAGACACTGTCTAGTTGTCTAAACCAAATTAAATGAGATGAACCTGCAGTTTTAAACCTATTGGTAGAGGGGCAAGTCACTGACAGAAAAATGCATTGACATCAGTCAACTAAAGACAAGAACAAGCTAAAACCTAAAATCTAAAAAGTTTAGAAATATGGTAATCAAAAGTGCTCTATGGTCGACCAATTAATACATGTTTAAATAGAGGTAGGTTATCTGGAAGTCATCAAAAAAGTAAGCACGCAACGCTACAGATGTACCTTCTTTGAAATACGGTAATATTAGGTTGAAATTGTGACACCAGTTATTATGTGGTGACCAATTTTCTCACTAACGGCTCATCTATGTCAATCAAGGCTCTAGTGCATTAAAATAAAGAAACCGAATATATACACAGCAGAAGTAAGGAATTACCAATGATAAGGTACTTTGTTATGTAAAATTTAATGGATAACTAAGTATATGTAAACATGTTAACAATATTTAAGACAAGCAAACAGACTACATTGATAATGAGTTAGACTAAGTACATAGTGACTATTTGACACTAACTGCAAATCTATAATACTTGGCATATCACCATTCAGAAAAATCTGTATGTTCATACTCTAATCATAATCAGGAGAGCACCTTGAATTTACCCTAACATGTGCATGAAATAATCCTCTAAGAAATTTATCAATGAAAGCAGTTAACAACAGGAGAAAATTTCGTAGCCTTCAGTTTTGACAAAACAAATACAGAATGTAACACGTAACTTGAATGAAGCTATAACTCATTTATTAAGCGTAATTTTACGTGCTTAGATTTAAATTGCACTGTTATTAAGACAGTGTGGTCCAAACCTATAAGCTAACGGTTAAAACTCAATTGCTCTAAAAGATGAGCACTTCCATTACAATAAATTTGAAACACACTATATTGAAGTGAAATGCCACTCAATCTGTTTCATTCTCACTGATTTATTGCTAATAAAACTATTCATAGTATATCAATTAAAAACTTTTATGAAATCTAAGAAGAGTTTTATAATAGTGAAGTCTATTACAAAATAGATGAGAACAAATGAAACATAAATTCCACTGAAGTATTTACCAGTCACGGTAACTTGAAAATTAGACCTCGTCCAGTACGATTTGTCTATTACTCCAACACCCGTCGCCAATAGAGTATAAATCAAAAAATGAACACTGAAAGGCTTCAACAATTATTATTATTATCGACCATATACATATTCTGTATTTGTAATATTTTGTTGCGTGACCCTAAATATGACGATCTAACAATATGACTGGCATCAAGTTAGAAATGAATTGTCGTATATGGCTTAAGTAATTTGAATTTATGATTTGAATAAACTTAATTTTTGGTAAGCGTGAACGGATTTTTCGCGGAAGAAGGTATTTTCTCAACAGTGTCTAAAATCCCAACTCGTTTAAAACGCTTACTACATATTACTCTACAATATCAGCTAAAATCTTCAACTATAGATATCGACACGAACTAGAAAAAATCCAGTCGCCTTATCTGCACAACTTAGATCACAGATGTCAGTTACCATGGACCGATGCTCTTCCCTCCATTACAACAACACACTGACAATAAATAAGGATAGAGATGAAGTCAGGCTTTGTCATTAGAACATTTGATTAAAAACGATGTACAACTTCATCTGTGTGACCATCTTGCTAACAATAAATTATGTTACAAAACAATTACAGAGTTAAGAATAATACAAACAAAAAAAGTCTCAAAAGTAATTAAAACCAAGGTACCCATTAAAAGATCAGAAAGGAGACAAACTTCAATTAAATGTAAACACAACGTATAAAATTACTAAGACGACAGATTATTCATCTTTATAGAAAATACAGACAAAACTAATGAAAATAAGAGTTGGCGGTAATGATTTACTTTATTCCAAAATAGATCTAAGTCATGGTAAGTTCATTAGAATTATGTCCTAATGAATGACAGGAAGGAAATAGTATCAATTAAATTTAGCCTAATGATTCATTGTTTAGTTTACTTTCTTATGCCCGTAAACAATATTTATTTACATATTATGAGCATATGCCTAGTAATTGGGTTGTGAATAGACATGATCAAATATATATATATATATATATATATATATATATATATATATATATATATATGATTTTGCTCTTCGATTGACCATTTTTTAATTTTCTAGCAACCTTCCTGTTAAGCCATGAATTAGCCCTATATTATTCAGTCGGACTGACATCAATTAGTCGGTTGATGATAAGTAACATGAGAACTGATATATATATATATATATATATATATATATATATATAATATATATATATATATATATATATATATATATATATATATATATATATATATATATATATATATATATATATGCATCAATCCAAGTTGTCGTATTACATATTAGCAGTGAGATGAAATTTACAAGTAGGAATTAGAGTAATATCAGTAGTACCAGTGAGGCGATGGCTAAGTGGTCAAGACGTCGCACTTTCACCTACTAGGTCTGAAGTTTAAAACCTACTTCACTTTTGCATGTGCAACCCAATAGTATCACTAGCTCTAACACTTAGAGTGTGGCTCAAAGTCAAGTACACGAATCTGTACCTGGTAATTGAGTTAATGAAAAAATCAGTGATAGAAAAATTAGGATATGAAATATAGAATATAGTTTGAGAAAGAATTTAAGGGCAACAAAGAATAAGTGTCTGTCAGTGCGACTGATTTCGAGTCATGCCACACAATAACTTCGACCATTGATCACAATTATCGAGCGAACTCCTATTAGGTAATCTGCTCCTAAGAACGACTCTCATACAAAAAGACAGTAACTTCATGAACCGATATTATTGAAAAAAACCTTTTATGCATTAAAAAAGTGATTTATGCTTCCCCTTTACATATCTTGCACTCATAATAAGCTATATTTTATTTGGATGCATGCATAAACGAGTGTTATGGATGAGGTCACCAGAATTTCTGATGAATTTAAGGTTGAAGTTCGTTACATTACTACAACAATAGTAAAAATATTTAATGCAAGAGACATTTGACAACCCAGACCAATTACATGAGCCACATACTTCGTGATAATAATCAACGTTACTAAGATAGATGGAGTGAAGTTTGAACACGCAATCTAACAATTAGAAGTGATATAATCGCTGAACTAAGATTAATGCCCCCAAATGCCCTGGTACGGCCGAGAGTGGGGAGAGTCCTCTCTCCCTCTCGAAATGCTCTCACACGGCCACGCGTATATAACCTCTGCCAGGGAAGTCCTACTCAATGCCTTCTCGTGACGGGGGTGCTATTAACAAAAATGAGAGGACGAAAAGCGAATGTCTGGCGCTTTAACCGGATCCCAAACCAATGGTGCACATGGGCTCCAGTATCCTGCGGGAACAAATGGCGTATGAACCACTCGTTGGTCACCGGCTTCCATGAGACTGCATCTCCTTACGATGCTCCACTGCCTTGTGGATCAGACCTTTAGGTCAAAGGCTCAGGGAGTGGCCCCTAAGAAAACCACCTGCTTCGGTTTGGGCACCCGGGCAGTATCACAGCCCTCACACATATCGAATAAGATTTATGTGGCGCATATGTATTTGGTGCCTTCTTGTACCAATATCAATGTGTTAAAATAAATAAATAATAAATAACATGAAGAATACCTATTCCAGAATATTTTACACAACATGAATTAGGTAGACTTCCCTAAAGGTTGAAAACTATAATCATTTAATGACTATTACTATTATACATATTAATATATATTACAAATACAAAACGTTAACTTCAGATGTAAAAGTAAAATTTTCGGAACTTACGCATACGGAGCCACGAGAACCAGATGCCAGATTTGGCAATGACTGTTGCAAAACAAGCAGAAAATTTTTAACAAATCAATACTCTGTAACACTGTAAATGTTAAATTGACCAGTTTTTTGTCGATTACCTTTAACTATCTAATGTATTCATTTCTTAATCCCTAAGTAGGTTAAAGCTCTCCAATAACCGGAGCGGTGGCTTAATCGTTAAGACATTCGAATCGCACAGATTCGAGTCGTGCTCCAATTTAGGCTGGACAATCGGATAACACCACTAGCCTTCACACTTAGAGTGTGGCTCATGCCCAAGTACCTATTGAATGATTTAATTAGTATTTTCAAAAAAAAATCTAAAAATGCCCTCCAATCCACAAGTACTCTTTAGATTTATCATAATTTAGTCTGCATCATATAATACTAAGAGGATTCAACCCTTATGATGTATACAATATTCCACGTAAATCGATTATTAAATGTTTAAAAATAATAATACCCAGAGATCTTTAGAACCTAAATCAAGAGTAATCAAAACATAGAGAAAATTCGGTCGGTTATGTTGTGTTATGTACACTCCTGCGTGGTTGTTCCTAAGTAGTTAAAGGCAGAACTGAGAGTTCATAGGAAAAGTAACAGTTGGAGAGTACAGTACAACGAGTAACTCAGAAATTAAAGCGGTGACTTTACTCCATAGCCATTAAACCCTACATCAATCATTAGTTATCCAAACTTAGTTAAGTGTATAAAATGGTAGATAGAGTATTTGGTTGAACATTAAAGTACGATATTAAGAGGATCTGAATCTTGTAGCATTTGAAATAACTAGGAAACCATATCAAGTTTGCGTGCACAACTATGAAACGAATTTTGTGTAGACCCCAAGGAGTTGACGGTATTCTGGTTTTAAATTTGAAGGTCTTGATTATCTAACCACAGTTCTAACGTGTGGTAACTTGTTAGTAAAACATTTACCCCAATACTGAAGCCAAATTTCTCCAAACATTACAGCGTACCTAGAGTAACTGTTACAACTGATTTGATTAGACTTAATGAATAAGAAATTATGGCCACAGCATATTTGTTTTTTTAGGGTTATGCTATAAAATACTTATTTGACAGTTAGATGAACTCAACAAAAATTCCCATGTTTGTCCAATACGGGAGTTGATTTTTAATTTATTGAGCTGCAGTTATCAAACATGACAATAATGAACATTATTCAATAAAATAGTGAATGATGGCAATAATGGTAATAATTGCTATAACTTACATTTTTTATATCATCTCTAAAATTATAACCTAATGAAACAAGACAAGCCTTAAATTCATTTGGCTCTAAACGTCCAGTATTATTTTTATCAAAATGTTTGAAACAAGTACGCAGATCATTCATTTGTTCAGCTGTTAATCCTCTGGAATCTCTTGTTAATATCTGATTGTCTATTTCATTGACAGAGTAGTGTAATAAAGTGAACAATTGTTCCCATGCAACGCGCAGTGTTGGCATTGAGTAAACAGTATATGGATTTTCAAATATATAGGCATCTTCTAATGCCTAGGTAATAAGAAAAAAAAGGAAACAGCAAATGAAATCAAAGTATTATTTAAATCAATGACGATATTAACTATTGTCACATCATTGGAGTTTGGCTAGTGGCTAGCGATGGAGATCGAGAACGCATGTTTTTTTCCTCTTTTGAGATTCGCAACAGTTGAGTTTAAAAACCTGAATCTCAGTATTCATATTCACACTGATATTCGATGGACTGTAATATTTGCCATCAAAAAACTCGAAAATACGCTCTGCAAATATTGTTACACTGAGATTACTATCAGGTACTTAAAATTAACACTAGTCATTCATAACCCGTTATATACACAGACAAAAACAGGAGATCAACTTCTAATTAGAGCTAAAAAAATTAGGCGAATTCACTTTACGTTTTCAAAAGAAACATTCTCTAAAAAGAACAGGCATATTCACACAGAGGATTTTGCAAAAAATTATATACGTTCAAGATATCACTTTTTTTTCCAACTCAACCCTGATATTCAATACTGACTAATTCAAGATTTAGTCAAAGATAAGTAGAAAAACTACTAGTTAGCAGATTAATTTATTATTTAGAACTTAACTCGTCATCAAGTGAAGGACGCGTAATCAACTAGAATTATCAATTGACGAGAGTCTGAAACAGAATAAGATTTTAACTTAAGTTTTAAAGGTTTCCCTATAACTAAGAGAAAGTACAGTTTAACGTTCAGCTTAATAACTACAATGCATTCATCTCACGGCGAATTCAAAAAAACTCAGAAACTCGAAGGTAAAACTACAAAGCCAATATAACAACTGGCATATATTAATAACTAAATCAAACTATATTGGGTGGGACATATTCTTTATGTCCTACAATGTCATAAAGGTCGGCTGAAGAACAGTAAAACGGAAGTAAGCAACTAAAGGTCCAACGGTAGTATTAAACTGGTGACCGTTTAGAACTGTAACGGCAGTAAGGCGTTCTCCCCAGATAACGAGCATCTACACCAATGCTGGTTTCTCACGATGGAAAGAGTAGCTGAAAAAAGTCAACCCTGAAAATATCAAACATTGCCTTACCCCATGGATTGGTGTCTCCAGAAGTAGGTCCTTTTGAAGTGTGCAGCTAATACATCAAAACATTTCTACAAAAAGGCCGTTTATGACCAACCTTAAAGAGTTGTCCTTTTAAGCCTGTATTCAGGTCTTTCAGTTTCCACTTACATACGCCTGTTACCCCTCATAGAGGAGCATAAGTCACTCACCAGCATTCTCCATCCAACTCTGTCCTGCACAATCCTTTCCAGTTGCTATTCACTCTTTTGATGTCTGCTCCAACTCCAGTGGCATTGTATTCCTTTGTCTTCCACTTTTCAATTTCCCTTTAGGATTCCAAGTCAGCGCTCGGCCTCGTGATGTAGTTTGTTGATCTCCATGATGTATATCCTATCCAATTCTAACGTCCTTTCCTAATTTACTCTTCAGTTGGTAGTTTGTTTTATCCTGAAGCAGGCTGTTGCTGATTGTATTTGAACAACGGAAATTGAATACCTTGTGTAGATAATTGTTTATAAATACTTGTACATTTTTGATTATGGTTGTGGTAGTTCTCCAAGTTTCAGCCTCATACAGTAGAACTGTTTTAACGTTCGTACTGGAGATTCTGATTTTGATATTGGTTGACAGTTGTTTTGCGTTCCATTGTTCTTCAACTGTAGGAATGCTGTTCTTGCTTTACCAATTCTCACCTTTACGTTTTCGCTCAGCGATGATGCTGTCCAGGTACTTGGAATTTTCCACCTCTTCTAGAGTTTTTTCATCAAGTGTGAATGTATGGGCGTTCTGTATTATAGTTTAGGATGTTGCTTTTTCCCTTGTGTCTGTGGAGGCCTACTGCTGCAGAGGTTGCTGCTACACTTGTTATATTTACCTGCACTTGTTTGTGTGTATGAGATAGAAGCGCAGGTTATCTGCGCAGTCCAATTCGTCTAGTTGCATCCATTGTATCCCGTACTTCCCCTGAGATGTGGAAATCTCCATAACCCAGACAACCTACAAGATCATCACTAATCTAGTCTCCTTTGCAGATAAATACACTAATAGATAAACGAGAGAAATAATGTTTGGGTCAACTGACCTGATTAACGTGTTCTAATTCATTCAACTTATCCTGATGCCTATTTAATTCTTCTTCCAATTTCTGTAAATTATTTCGTTGATCCTCTAGTGAACTATGTGATTCCATGCTAACTTTAACAATTTCCGTACGATGAGTTTCAATAGATGAATTGAATGCTTCGGCTTTCTGTGCAAATTCGCGTCGTAATTTCTCATTTGCTAGTTGACGTTCACGTTCCCTATGTAATAATGCACTTCTTTTCTGTGTTAATTCACGAATCATATTCCAACGCTGTGGAAGCACCTACAAATTAGAAAAAAATAAGCAAAGTAAACTAACCTCTTTAAAAGCTAGTAGATCTTTCAGTACAATTTATAGCAAACATAGTTGTTGATGACTTACACTAAATCAGACTGATTTCTCGTACAGATCACGAAATGTAATGTAGACGTTATGAAATAGATCAGTTAAGGAGCCTTATTTTAACGTTATTATTTGGCAAGTCAAACTAAATAACAATTTACCAAGATTTAGTAAACAGAGGAGTATTAAGTAGTACACTAGGCAGCTATAGCGAAACTTAGGTTTTTAACTGGTTCCCATCATAACTGAGAATAAGAGAACATAAAATAACTATAAATATTTTACTTCAAAATCCTAGGACTTATCATGTTAGTGAGATGTTGAAATGTCTAGTCGATTATACAAAATAACAGTGAACTTTAGTATTTAATTTAGTGTTTACATTCGGTCAATGAAATTAGTCATGAAACTACAGAAATAAAACAACAGCTATTTTCGAATTGTCAGTATTAGATAAAACTACAAAATGCGTTATGCTTGATCAATAGTGCATTTACCAATCAAGATATACACTAATCAAAAAATGAATATTGTGAAGCAATGTATACAAGGAAGTAATGCTCGGTATGTAAACCACTGGAATTATTTTCGTTAAACTCGTGTAAGTCACTGAAATATCGAATAACGATCTTCAATATCAGTACCAGTACATTAGTATCAGCTATGATAATAATCAATTTTTTTCAATCAAAAGTCAGAACTCATATTGTAACTGGACTGAAAGCACAGTGGCAGCTAACAGGAGGGTTTAGTCACTTCTTATCTCGGTCCACATAATCGTAATTTTAGGGATTTTTATGCCATGATTTAATATTCCAACTCGTTGATCACTTCCCTTTTACTGTGTTGTTAAGATACTCGACACTTGTGTTCAGATTTCAAATTGTAGAGGAATCATAAGCATATAAAAAAACTTTGGTAGTACAAGCTATGGGATTATTAGGCAAAGAAAACAATTTTTCAGCTGTAACTAAAAACATAATCATTGTATCTCAAAAGGAAGTTTCCAATTCCGATGAAAAAATCCAGTGTTTCCCAATCGTTTAATCCGAAAATTTAAATCTATTTGCAAATTACGACAAATTTCAAATTAAGAAACTTACATGAGGTTCAATATTTGTATAAGGATTTTGAGTTGCATTCACCAGTTTATATTCACTAGCTATTTCTTCAACCTTTTGTGCACACAACTGGAGTTGACGACTTTCGTTCTCAGCTTCATCTAAGGTATTTTCAAATGTTTGATGGGCTGCAATTAATCTCTGCAGGATTTCAGAAAAAACATGAAAAAGTGTTAAAAACAACAAAACAAGTAAGCACACGATAAAACTTGCTATTAATCAATTCTAGTCCAGTGAATTTGGTTGAAATTTGAATGCCCGAACTAATGGATTAGAACTTTACTGAATCAATATTACATACAACATTGATAATTATGGTTACATGGAAAAACTTTTCTCTTTCTTACTCCTCTTTGTGAATAAGTTACAATAATTTTACCTCAACTTCAGGCATTGTATGAACAATGAATGTATCTCGTAAATCCTCTTCTGTTTGTTCCATCCAATTGTTAAATGGCTAAAATAAACGACAAATAATTGTAGCAGTTAATAAAAAATTTTAGGAATTGTAGAGGATTTGTTCATAAAATTTAACAAATATGAGCAATAATTTAGTAAACTCAGTCAATCAATCTATTAATAAAGATTATTGTTTATGCAATCTTTGAGTAGTGTATGGAAAAACTTAACTATAAAAACACATTGAGATCATAGGTTTAAAACAGAAATTTATATGATTTTGTAGACCAATTGTCAAACTAAATTCCTACTTTCCAAAATGCTAGTTGATAAACATATATCATTTTGAACATCAATAGTTAACAAAGTAAGCACTTCACCTTTAAGCATAAAAGTGATACATAGTTACGGATGTGTAATGACCCAGTTTAGAAGTTTAAAACCTGTATTTACCTCATTATCAATTTAGCTATCAATCCTATTACTCTTATTGTTATTGGTATCCCATATTAGAATTATACCAGCTAACTCATTTTTCAATTCAACTCACTATTTTTGAGAAATTAGCGTTTGTGCTTTTTTTGCTACAAATAGTACAATAATTGGCATACAAGAAGAATGTACTTAAGTATTAAACCATTTGAAGAATATGTTTACGCGAACACAAAATCATTTAAAAAACATTTGGCTAACAAAGAATTTTTACTTACTGCAGCTCGTTTCGCGAAATCGAGGTGAAGCTGGTCGATTTCTTCCAGAGCTGTCAAAGCTTTCTGTTAACCAAAAACGACAAACACAAATAAAATCGGAAGTAATGTGTAAAACTAAAAATAGTGGATTTATACAATTGCTTACAAATGGAATATGGAGTTAGTAACTGACCATCTGCATTATGAGTTTTATACGCAAAATGAGTTTACGTTCAATTCGTAAAAGCACTTTCTCCATTGAATGAAAGTTATTTGATCTGATTTGGATCCCTTACACAGTAAACCAACTAATAAACATTCAAGTTTAAAAACTAACTGTCTCATTATAAGAATGACAGTTATATTCAATAGCGAGAAATATGAAAGAATCATTTGAAATAATATCTTTAAAATATCAAACCAATATACACCTAACTCACAGATATTTCTCGTTCTCTTTGAGAGGACAACTTTTTCATTTCATCCCATGTGGTTATAATGGTATTGTAACGTTGATTGAAAGCATTTATGTTAAAATGATTCAGTTTACTGAAAGGTAAAATAATAGTATTGGCACAAAACGTAAAAACTTCTTTCAACATAAAAATGATTACCAGATTGGTAAAAAATGAGTGGTTACAACTAATAGTTAATTTTATAGCTATATGAACAGATAAAGCAACCGCTACTCTTGTTGAGTAAATATGTTTTTGAGTTTCAAGGACTGCTTCGTGAATTTTAACTCTAGAATATAATAGCCTACATGGTCAGGAACAGTGCTTTTTTGGGACGACTTGCACAATCACATTTCTTCCAGGAAAGAGTCAGTCAGTCAGTCAGCTACAACGTAGGACCAGGCACATATGTGCATCGGTCCAGGTTGCCATACCTCATTAGCACAGCAAGATGAACACCGGATTCATAGGAGTGGTTAGGTCAAAGGTTGCAATAAGGATATAGTATAGGAAGAAAGAATTAGTTCGTAGAAAGAAAGATATGAAGTGATTTTAATCTCTTAGTTTAAGGGAAGACAGGAGTGTATACACCGACGCCATTGTGATCGATTCTGAGCCATGTCACCAAGAGTCTCCAACCATTGGTTACGAAAGTCACGCGGACCCCAACCAAGTAGTCTGCATCTACCAACATGGCTCAGACTAGAAGTTAATGACTTCAGGCACTGATGCCACGTTTTGGTTTGGCCGCACCTAACTTTCTTCCAACCATCCCCTACACCGGTTAGCATTGCACGTCGTGGTAATCGGTGTTCAGGCATACGTAATACGTGGCCCAACTATCTCAGTCTATGAAGATTCACAACCTCATCAACTGATTTACCATCATTCCCTAATACCCTGCGTCTAACCTCACTATTACTTACCCGGTGATCCCAGCAGATGCCAGCAATATTTCTAAGGCATCTGTGGTCAAATACTAGTAGCTTACGGGTGTCTTCTACTCTTAAGGCCATGTTTCGCTGCCGTAAAGTAAGACAGAACGGACTGCCGCGCAGTATACTCGTCCTTTTATTGATAGACGGATATCTCGCCTCCGCCAAAGGTGACGTAAGTTGGCAAAAGCCAAACGAGCTTTTCGAATCCGTGCTGAGATTTCATCCGATACCAACCCATTAGGGCTGATCAGACTTCCAAGATAAGTGAAGTTGTCGACGCGTTCGACTACTTCACTCCCTATCCTTAGTTCAGGTGTTGACGCAGACCAGTCCTGAAGCAACAACTTGCATTTAGAAGGAGAGAAGCGCATCCCAAACATTCTGGCATTGTTGCTTAGTGCTACCAAAAGACTCTGCATTTTGTCAGCGTCTTCACCAAACAGGACTATGTCATCTGCGTATTCTAAGTCGATAAGTGGACCTCCTGGAAGGAGATCAATACCCGAGAATTCAGTCGACGAGAGTGTTATTTCCATCAATAGGTCTATGATGAAGTTAAACAAAAATGGAGAAAGCGGACAGCCTTGACGGACACCACTTGAGGTTGCAAAAGTAGATGACAGTTCGCCATAAGCCCTGACTCGACTAGTAGTGTTCGAGTAAAGAGCCTTCACAAGGTTTATGTACTTCTGGGGTACGCCTTTCAATGACAGACACTGCCACAGAATCTCGCGGTCTACAGAGTCAAATGCTGCTTTTAAGTCAAGAAAGACCACCATCGTCGGACGCCGATAGGTATGCCTGTGTTCTAGAACCTGACGAATGGTGAATATGTGGTCGATGCAGCCACGACCAGGTCTAAAGCCAGCTTGGTTCTCTCGTGTTTGTAGTTCACGAGTCTTAGTTAGGCGTTTGATAATTATCGAGGCCAGTATTTTAGATACTATGTTTGTTAAACTAATCCCTCTGTGGTTGTCACAGGATGATTTTGACCCTTTCTTATATATTGGGACGATAAGTGATTGCGACCAGTCAGATGGGATAAAGTCTAATTCCCAGATCTTAGCTAAAATATTAGTCAACCTAATCGCTAAAATTGGACCACCATCCTTAAAGACCTCTGGAGCCAATCCATCTGGACCAGCTGCCCTTCCTCGTTTCAGATTAACTATAGCCTTTTGAACTTCAGCAAGAGTTGGGGGACCTACTTCAATGTTCCATTCACATTGTCTGGGAATGGAGGGTAGTTGTAGAGTAGCTGAAGGCCAGCTGAACTGTTCTCTAAAATGTTCCGCCCATCGTTCTAAACGTCTGGACTGGGAGCAGATGAGAGTATCATCTTTTTCCGAAATAATCTCACTTACACTTGACTTATTAATTCCAGTTTCTTTTATTAGTCTGTAAAGCTGTCTTGTGTTCCCTATAGTCGCCGCCTTTTCCATCTCTTTTGCTTTCGTTACCCACCACTGCTCACGGTCGTTCCTTAGACTTTTTCTTAACCTAGATCTGATTTGTTGTCGCTCTTCATCATGTTCAGAACCTGATGGGACGAGTTTGCGAGAATCCATCAGTGTGACAGACCTTGAAGAAATCCACTGGTTCCTTGTAACTCTGTGGTTTAAGTCACTAATAGATGTCACTGCTGTTTCCACAGCTGATTGTATGCCCTTCCAAGCAACATCTGGGTCAGCCTCGTCTTCACAACTACCTAAGTGTGACCTCAGTTGTTCCTGGAACCTACTTTTGGTTTTCTCGTTACTCAACTCAGTTCTAACGGGTCTTTTTAATGTGGCTTTTTTGCGTCCAGTGAGGCGCAAGCAGATGCGTGCCCGTATTAGGGCATGGTCGGAGTCCAAGCAGGTACTCCAGAATGAGCGACAATCTTCTACCGACCCTCTCCAACGATGACTGATGGCAATATGGTCTATTTGAGTCCATCGTTGGTTTGGTGTAGGGGGTCGCCATGTTAGACGATGTCTCTCCTTATGCTTAAAATTTGTGTTTGCTAAAAATAAACGATTGTCTGAGCATAGCTGCAGCAGACGATCACCATTATCTGTTCGCTGTGTCGGAATACTAAAATATCCACCTAAATGCCTTTCTGTTTGGTTTAAACTACCTATCTGAGCATTAAAATCACCTGCTACGAGTACTATGTCTGAGCGTTTAGCTTTCTGAAGAAGTTCGGAAGCTTTCTGTAAAATTCATCTTTCACTTCATCTGAGCTGCAGTCAGTGGGAGCGTAGGCAGAAACGACAAAAAGGCAACGACGTGTGTCCCTATCCTTCCGAGTTCTTACGTAGCCGTTCAGCCGAACAGCACATAGACGACTGTTGACGGGGATCCACTCTAGCAGTGCTTGTTCGGCCCTCATGCTTAGTGCTATGCCTACACCTGCCAGTCCACGAGAACTTGCCATCGGGTCACCAGATACACGAAGGGTGTATCTCGTTGGCTCTCCGTTTGCCGAGGTGAGGTCAAGTGAATGACCACACTGGAATCCTGTATGCGTGTTTCGGAGACACAGCATACATCAATGGAAAGAGACTCTAGGGTTTTAGCCAAGGAAGCCTGCTGACCGATTTGACATAGGGTGCGTACGTTGAAGGCTCCAATGTGTAGTTTGGAGCGAGGTTTCAGTAGACCTGGGACAGTGTTTTGCGCACTAGAATCGTTGGCTATGGTGACACTTGAGGTGGAAGCCGAGAGAGGAAATTTAGAGTTGAAAGTCGATGTAGGAGGAATAATAGGAATTGAAGAGGAGGTTGATTATGAATACAGTGGTCTTGAGTGCTGTTAGAGGTATGAGGGCGGTTATCACTTCCCGGTTGCCCACACCGTGGAAGGGTTGTTCTGGAGGTACCTGAAAAGGAAATTGGATTAAAGGTGGTCTTAGTGACCTGAGAGCGTGACCGCAGTGCCCAAGGGACAACTGCTTGAGGCCGGTCGCGCACGGCCTTTTCGTGGGAGGTTTTTGACGTGTTAGCTCCGTTCTTCAAAGGGCCTTACCGCCGGAGACGGAAATCCGTGAGGTAAGGTGAGGTGTGCATTTTTAGGGTCGACCTTTTCTAACCCCACCCCTCCTTGTGGGAAGGCAGCATCGCTGTCATGCTGGTTGTCTGAAGGAAACACCTTACTGCTGTCACACCTCTGTACAGTCAGCAGTACGACTTCGCCTTCGGACCTTGGGTTTGTTGCTTTTAGTCTTACCGCTCTTCAACCGACCTGTCTGACATGGTAGGACCTTGAGGAACGGTTGTTCCAGCCAGTATAGCTCGGTTGCTTCATCACGATAGGCAAGCCCGACCACCACGTCAAGGTAGCAACAACGGTCGGGCCAGGAAAGAGCGTCTCACGAGATTCCTTAGGAATGTTCCGGATGACATTGCGCTCAGAATATTGTATATTAGACGGTATTCTTACGTCCCCTTCCTATTTCAGCGAATAACTGACCAGCAGAACATCCTCCCCGTCAGCAGTGTGAGTGAACGTTGCTCGTAGTTTTGGACGATTCTAGTGCTTGGAATCCTGCCCTCGGAGTAAGCCGTTTAACCGTCAGTGGCTCGATTCAGGGAAATTTGAGCTTCCTGTTTAACTCATACCAGAGCAACCTGTTATTTTTGTCCTGCAGACTGAAAGGAAGGTCAGAGCTGTCTTTAAGGTTCATAGTGATGAGATAATTATCTTGAACCGTGATCGTTTTCCCAGGGTTCTCGGGTACGTTGGAGTTGGGGACCTTTTTGCTTGACAGAAGGGTTGCGTTTCGGACTCCCGTGCTCTTTGCGGACTAGTTGGACAATCATATAGGTAGGTTACACAGCCACTTCACGAGGTGGTTTTCCTGCAAGACCTAAACTGTTCAACATTTTGACGGAGACACTCGATCTTTTTTTACTGTGTTGACGGGATCCAGTTGTCTACAAAATTTTTTGGGACCACAGTTGCATTTGGGGAGCCTGTACTGGAGGACACAAGTTTGCTGATAGAGTTTAGCACAGCCGATATGATGATGGTGCTGAATTTCAGCATATCCTCACTCGTGTCGATGCGTGTTCCATAGATACTAATAACGTTTAAGACCCTCTTCTTTACTTTACTGAGCGTCTTTGTTTATTCAATTCAAGATTGCCTTTTTTCAGGGTTGCTTACAATTTTTTCGCAGACATTTCAAGAGAATGATGATGTTGCTCACCAAAACCTCAGCATTCATGAGGTATGTGCCACATATCCACCTGCGATCTGACTTAATAAGTTTGTTGTTAGCAATTACTATAAGATCTGTGCATACTTCGTGGAACCAACCTAAACATTTGTCACACTGCATAACAAGGATGTTAGTCAGCTACAATGTAGGACCAGGCACATATCTGCATCGGTCCAAGTCGACACACCTCATTAGCACAACAAAATGGACATCAAATTCATAGGACCAGTTACTTCAATAGCAGTAATATATAAAAGAAAGATTGTGTATAAGCATATAGTACAGGAAGAAAGAATTAGATCGTAGAAATAAAGGTATAAAGCAATTTTAATCTCACGGTTTAATTGCAGACAAAGAGTGAATACAAAAACGCCATTGTGATCGATTATGTGCCATGTCACCCACAGTCTCCAACTATTGGTTACGATAGTCACATGGACCTCAACCAAGTAGTCTGCATCTACCGACATGGCTCAGAACAGAAGTTAGTGACTTCAACGACTGATGTGAAGTCGTACTGCTGACTGTAGAGGTGGGACAACAGTAAGGTGTTACCTTCAAACAACCAGCATAACAGCGACGCTGCCTTCCCACAAGGAAGCGTAGGGCTAGAAAAGCTCGACCCTAAAAATACCCACCTTGCCTTATCCCACGGATATATGACTCCGGCGCTAAGGTTTCGACAAGTACTGAGCTAACAAGAAAAGTACTTACAAAAAGTCATGTGTGACCGGCCTCAAGCAGTTGTCTCTTGAGTACTGTGGTCACGCTCTCAGGCCAACAAAACCACCTATAACACAATTTCCTTTTCAGGTAGCTCCAGAAGAACCTTCCAACGGTGTGGGCAGCCGGGGAGTGATAACTGTCGTCATACCTCTAACAATAATCAATATCACTGTATTCATACCTTGGATGACAGCAAAGCGGCATACAGATTGCTTACATGGATTCTTGATGACCATGGCGAAATGTGAGTTAGATAGATCCGGACAAAAGTTTGCGACCGTAAAAGAAAAAACAATACACTGAAAACGGGTAGAGCGGATAAAACCAGTGGTCTAAAAATTTAGGATATCCTAAAACCAGCCTCGAAGTGGAGAATTATAAAAATTGAATTGTAAGGTGAGACAAAACCACGGTTCACTATTAACTAGGGTAGAACTCAAAAAGAAATCTACCGAACGTTAAGCTTAGGACAGGTCGAACTCCCTTAACTGGAAGAACTCTATCCTGACCATATTTTTTAACGAACTTTATTTTTTTACTAACTGCTATTCTTGTTCACTTGTTTGTTGCTTGCATGACACTCCTTTCTCACAATACCACTTTATTTGTGCGATACATTTCTGGAAGCGAAATTTTAAAACGCCATAAATAAATTCGAATGAGGAATTCAGTATTTTCGTCCAAGTAAGAGCAAGAAAAGGCTTACTTAAGTTCTTCGGTAAGCGCCTGAATGTGCTCTATGCGAGCATGATGAGCAGTCATATCCGATTGAAAAGCCTCATGTTTCTTTTGAAATGCCCTCATTTCCGATAGCATAGCTGAGCGGAAGTCATTTGAAGCCAACGCTTCTGGTTTCCCATTAGTCCATGCCTCATGAGTGGAGCATTTCACCTCGAATTTCTTAGCCAGATATTCAAGACGCTCTAGCCTTTGTAGTTCTTCTAATAGCCATTCCTAGAAGTAAGAATATATAGGTTGTTTTGAACAGAAGAAACAAACAACATTGAATGAAAAATGCGGCTTGCACATATAAAGAGGAAATTAGCGAGACGAAATTTAAGGGATTGAAGGATATATTAGTAGCATTGGGACACTAGACATGGAGAATATCATTTAAAAAGACCAGATGAACAGTAGGGCATATTACTCCACTTAAAAGCTGGAGTAGGTGAAAAAATAAGACAGAATTGTCATTTAAATTTCTTTGTAAGGATATGAACGACTTGATTCTCGAAGTCGTTTTAGTGATAAACATCCAAGACTGGCATCCAAAACATTCGGAATAAAATTTAAGAAAATGAGGCACTATATTTATCAAGTGACTCATTATGAATACATGAATACCCGTAGCACAAAGCCATTTAAACAGCGATAGAGAACTAGATACGTTAGTGATCATAACTGTGGACAGATACAAAGAAACGTACTTTTTTTAATTATATTAGGCCAAGTCTTGCAACAACACCCCAGTTCGCTTACTTAATTACCACTACGTGTAACGATTCACCAGACGCCTAAAACAATTTCATAAATCATGAATTGGCAGTGATCAATATATTGTGATGTACATTGAGGTATGTTATCCAATGACAAATGACTACATAAAAAACTTGACAGAAATCCCAAACACTAACCTCATAGATTTTATCAGCCTGTTCTAAAGAACTCCAATTCTTAGCAACATCCGTTATCAAGCGTCCGTTGGCTGGTACATAAGGAGACTTATTGTTTAATCGCAGACGAGTCTGGAGTGTATTGTAGGTTGTCTCTAAGCGAGCTTTTTCCTGTAACTTAGATGGTTTTTCTTGGCGGTAATACAATCTAAACTTCTGCTGTAGTCCTTCAACAGCGGAAACAGATGTTTGAGGATCACGTTGCTGAAATAGGATAAACAAGTGAAGGAACAGTAGAGCATAAACTGTAATAAGTATAGTCAACCGAATTGCGAACTAGGGCTTCTTTACGAATCATAAATACTGTAGCTTGTGGAGATAAAATGACAACTGATCGGTGCAGATTAGAATAACGCAAACAAATCCAAAACTGTTTAAAGACTTTGGGAAAATACGACCTTCAAACGTTTAGATAGCTAGTCAGTGGGGTTTCTTACACACATACACTAACAGACCACCATTGGACGCAAATTATTTTGCACTTCCCTGTAAAATAACAATGCGAAATGTGTTAAGCAAAGAAATATCGACTGGACAGTTGGAAGGAAGGAATGCACTAAAATAAGAACACTGAAACTATATACAACCCAAATCCAACTCGTTGGAAAGGAGGAATGATAGTAAGACCGTGAAATGATTTTAAAATAATTACATGAACCAATCTACGTGGATAGGTGAGTACTAGTTATCAAAACTGCTTCAACACCAACTAACAGTTAAAGTACCTGTTGAAACCCAGTTTGCTTAGTGATTGAAGAGCCTTATGGCAAATATTTGACTATATTGTCAAATACGAAAAACTATGGTAGCCTGAACTACAAAAGTCACGGTCAGAAAATAATTTAACGTAACTTACTCCGAATTCTCGTAGCTTTATTTTTATCCAGTCCGAAAGGTTAGTCGAAATTGTTTCGTAGCATTCTTCTAGATTTTGATTTTCCCTAATCATCCGAAGATTATTAGCGATACGAGTAGCTGCGATGTCAGTCTGAAAAAATGATTAATGCAACAGACAAACTAAGTAGCATAAACTAGACGAGAAATACAGAATATCAAAGGCAGATGTACATGATTATGATAGACTAAAAAACCGAAACCCAAAAACTGACTAGTTGCAAACACAGAAAAAAGCAAATTTACATTTATAAATCCAAGAAAACTACCTTGTGAGATCCTGAGAACATATGATAATATGAAGACAAGTAAGCCATCACAGATTGCTCATCACAGTTCTTGCGGCTTGCCATATCTAAGAGTCATAAACATTAGACATATTTACTTTACCTTCTGGATCGAGCATTTTTGGAATGTCAAGGTGTTTTTCCGCTATTTCAAAAGCAAGATTTAGATTTTTGATGTGATCACCCTGGAAGAGTGGTATGAGATAAAAATATTGCACACCTTTTTGAGTTGAGAGTAATCAATTAGGTGAGGCCGATTTCTATGTATTATGGCACAAAACGCTAGTCCATCCTTAAAACTAGAAAATCTTTAGTTTCATGTACATTAACAAACCTAGTGTGGAAATTCTCGACGCACACATTTTTGTACGGTGCAGTCTGTCTTTGACACCAAAGCAGCAAACCCTCCTTAGCAGATGAATCTGAATCAGAACAAGGTGAGGGATTAGGACGTTATACCTTCTATCTGGATATCCTGGATAGCAAAGCGAAGAATGATTGTCCATATCATCCCAAGAGTCATTTTTGGATTCCCGTCGACAATTTCTAGAAAGTGATAGACAGCTTTAAAATATTACCCTCAGCGCCGATAGACACCAGCTTGACGCCTTTGCTCTGGATAAAATCGAGAGCTTTGTTTACATTAGCAATTTTATGAAACCTCAGCATTCCCCTCTCAGGACCCGGTAATGATTCACCAGAGATAACTTCAAGTAATTTGATTAACATTACTCCATCGCGAAAATCATTTTCTATGACGTTAATTTGTTTATTAACATTTCTTAAGTGAGCATTGCACCACGCGGTAAAAGTCTACAGTCAAATATTTCACAAAATAAAAATGCTACTGTACCTTCTTTGTTGTAATTCCCATGCTGTGTCTATGGGGACATCCTTATTCGATTCAACATCATCATCATCTACGTGCCCCTCGTAATCATATATAGCCATGTTAGTCAGAGAGCCCTGAGACACAAATCAAAAACGTGCGTGACCCAGAGAACCGAGTAGTGTGAATATTGGAAATGTTATTTTACCTCATTTAAAAAGTCAACGTGAATCTTTTATGTTAAAGCAGTTAAGAGAACTACGTCCTTTACATAACCGGAAGTATATAACTCCATAAAGCAATTTTATTAGTTACTATTAATTCGAGAAGTGCAAGCTTAAGCAAAACGTGTAGTGGCAAGCCTCGTTGCACAGAATAATGTAGTGGAAGTCCTTCCGGTTCATTCAGCATAAGGTCATTGTTAACAAATCTACATCAAGTACAATATTCCAATCAAATGACACCAGATATAGCTAGCACCTTCATCAACTGACTTTGAACCAGATACATGAGCAGTGGCAGTTTCTTGGAACTTCAAAAGCTTCTTTTTGAACCATATGTCTAACAAACCAGTGGAAAGATGGTTTGATTAATAGACTGTGGTCGTCACCAAATGTCCTGAACGGCGTGAGCACACAGGGTAGGAAACTTTCTCCGAGAAATATTAGAAATGATCGGAAACATATCGCGCGCTATTTAAAAAGGACAGTGGTATTTTTCCTCGCTGAGTAAATTTGTTTGTTTTGATCGTTTATTACGTATCAAGACTACTGTTTTCACTTTAATTGAATTTATTTCAGTTAAAGTATTCGACTAAAGTACCGTTTTTACTGTTTTGTCGTTGGTACTCTTGAGTACCTCTTTTTCTACTGTATCTGTTAGTACTTTTGGTCCTAGCAATCTACAGCTCTTCACTTTTGGTCACTGATAATTTTTTTGTTTCTGAGTATCATCACAGTTTAAAAAAGAACCCCTCCAAAATGACCGGACAGTGTAAAAAAAGCAGTTGTCAACGTCCGGGTTGTCGTTATCCTGTTGAAAGCGGCATGCAGTGCGACGAGTGCAAAGGCTGGTACCACGAAGTTTGCACGAACTTAACGCCTGCTGCTTTCAAACGGTTCAGTAAGAAGGGTTGTGTGTGGCTTTGTCAACAGTGCTGCTCGGATGCAAACAGCTTGCTAACCGAGGCCATCTCACTGGTTGATGCTGCAAAGAAGTGTTTTAGCAAGCATAGTCGGAACGCGTCAAACAGCACTCGATCTGTCGACACGCAAATCAACGTGAAGGAAACTAAGGTTAGTCCGGTGATAGATGACTCACGCCCGTCAAAGAAGGAAAAGCAGTCTCCAAATAGGCCTGCCTTAAAAAAAAGCTCAAGAAAAGTAGGGTCTTCTGTTCCCCGTCTCCCAGATGGGATCCAACAGGAAACACCTAGGAGCCGCAATCGCAAGGCTCGATCGGTTTCAAACGGTAAACATAACACGACCCCTCAGGTCGTCGACAACCCCCCAAAACCCAACACTAGGTTTGACGCAACTGTTATTGCTTCTACCAGCACCGTTGACGAATGGGTAAAGGTTGTAAGGAAGAAAAGTATTGATATAAAAGGGAAACCTGCCCCCGTAAAAGTGGTTGAAAAATCGAAAGCTGATCATAGCGACAGATCAGCTATTTTTCATAGAATCAAGGAGAGCGATAGCTCTGAACCTAAAGCTCGTTTTGAGCATGACATTGTACTGATTAGGCAGCTGCTTAATCAACTCATGCCTCAAAATATGACCGGGGTCACCTTGCTAAAGGTGTACAGACTAGGGAGTCTAACGGACTCGAAACCAAATCATTCCAGACTGCTTAAAGTAGTATTCGGCTCTTCGAACGAACGTGACCTAATTTTACAAAATGGACACAAATTAAAGGGTTCAGGAGTCTTTATCCGAAAGGACCTACCGTTGGCAGACCGTGTTAAAAGACGGGAAGCCGAGAAAGAACTACAACATAGGTTAGACGCTGGCGAAAAGGACCTGAAAATTGTAAATTTTCGGGTTGTAAGACTTCGACAGAGAATGATGCCGAAGCCACTCTGGGTGAAGCACGAAGGCACTTAAACAGGCTTCGGATCTGTTACACCAATGCACGAAGCTTACTTAATAAGCGATCGGAACTAGGTGTACAGATTGACTCTACAAAGCCAGATATAATCGCAGTAACAGAAACCTGGCTGACACAGGCTATAGATAGTATAGAACTTGATTTCGAGGGCTTTACGTTAGTAAGGGCCGACAGAACACAAAAGCGCAAAGGAGGGGGAGTAGCTCTATTCATTAGGAATGCTATCCCATTTACCATTATCGATAGTGTATCCCATGAGAGTGGGACGTGTGAATTAGTTAGTCTTCGCTTAAAATGCAAGGGACAAGAGCTGCTGATTGGTTTGGTCTATCGCAGTCCAAGCTGTGAGGCAAATGAGATCCTGTTAAGCAGTCTCAATACTTGGTCCCAAAGTGGTCGATGTCTAATCCTAGGGGACTTTAATGCACCTATGGTAGACTGGGAAAATCTGCGAACTAAATCGTCGGAGAATTCTTTCGAGCAGGAACTAGTTGATGCGGTTATCACATGTGCTCTAGTGCAACATGTGAAAGAAGCGACAAGGTACGATCCGGACACTGAATCATCCTTATTAGATCTTATACTGACTCACTATGAGGATGATGTTGCGAACCTCCATCATATGCCACCCTTAGGTAAAAGTGACCACGCAGTTTTAACTTTCGACTTCCATATAACTGCCAGTCATGAGGACGCGTCAGTCCAGTCCAGACCCAACGTCTGGAAAGCAAACATACCAGACATCATGCACTCAGCATCGTTAATAGATTGGACAATAGACCCAGAGTCCTCCATTGAAACGGCCTGGGACGCATTTCGAAATTCATACTTAAAAGTTACCACACCTCACATCCCTTGGACTATACCAAAGGGGCCGAAAAACTCACCACCATGGTTCAGTAGGGAGGTCCGTATCCTTCTCCGTAAGAAAAGGAAAATGTGGGATAGATTTAGGTTACTGGGGACTGATGAGTCAAAATCTCAGTATCGAAAGGCTCGGAACACTTGTGCCTCGACCCTCCGTAAGTCTAGAAAATTGTACGAAGAAAAACTTGTTAAGGAATCCATAGAATGTCCTAAACGCTTGTATTCCTATATAAACCAAAGGACAAGGAGAAAAGGAAATATTCCTGCTCTATGGGGAGACAGTACTGCTTCATCATTAGTGGAGGACGACTTTGGTAAGGCTCAAGCGTTCTCGAACTACTTTAGCAACGTGTATACCATAGAAGCGCCCTTCTCGTCAGCGTATACAGATCCCCCCATACATACACTGGATAGCGTGACCATTAAAGAACTCGATGTCTTTGGTCTGCTAAATAAGCTTGACATAGGTAAATCCACGGGGCCCGATGAATTACATCCTAGGCTACTGAAGGAATTATCTAACTTCGTTGCAAGCCCTTTAAGTACATGCTTTAACCTATCCGTTACGCAGGGTCGCTTACCGAAAGATTGGAAAAACGCCATAGTAAGTCCTGTCTTCAAAACAGGCACGAAACACAAACCTGAGAACTACCGCCCCGTTAGCCTAACTAGTGTGGTTGTTAAAATATTAGAAAAGATTATTCGGAAGGAGCTGTTTAAGTATCTCGATAAAAACCGGATCCTCTCGGAGAAGCAGCACGGCTTCAGAATAGGTTATTCTTGTCTCACTAACTTATTAGTGGCTCGTGAAAGCTGGTGCGCTCTTAAGGACCAAAAGCTACCTGTAGACGTCGCCTTCATTGATTTCAGTAAAGCTTTTGATAAAGTTCCGCACAACCGGCTGTTATATAAGTTAAGAAAAGTCGGGATTGGAGGCAATTTATTGATGTGGATAAAAGACTTCTTAGTTGGGCGTCAACAAAGAGTTCGGGTGAACTCAAAGTTATCTAGCTGGGAAACTGTGCTTAGTGGAGTGCCCCAGGGTACAGTTTTGGGGCCAGTGCTATTCCTCTTGTATGTAAATGACCTTCCTTGTCTCCTATCATCATCGGTCTTGCTATATGCTGACGATGTCAAGATATGGAGAACGATACGATGTAAGAGTGATAGCTTAGAACTTCAAAATGACCTGAAGAAGTTATCTGAATGGTCTCAAACATGGCAGTTGCCGATAAATACTTCCAAGTGTGTTGTGATGCATATCGGTCATCAAGGCACAGATACATACACGATGAATAACACTGAGCTACCTGTCGTCCAGACATATAATGACTTAGGAGTTATCGTTAGTCAAGACTTAAAGACTACTGCACACTGCCGTGCAATAGCCGCCAAAGGTTTTAGAACGTTATGGTCAATACGTAGGGCTTTTAGTCATGTCGACGCTAAGACGTTTTTGACTTTGTATACAGTGTTCGTTCGTCCTAAACTTGAGTACTGCATACAAGCGGCTAGCCCCTGCTTAAAAAAGACAGTGAGCTTCTGGAAAAGGTTCAGAGAACGGCGACTAAGCTGGTTCCCGGAATAGCGAAGCTTCCGTATGAATCTCGACTGGCCAAGCTGAACCTTTTCCCGTTGTCATATCGCAGAACTAGAGGCGACTTGATTACAGTTTACAAATTGCTTAGTGATAAATTTGCACCTGATATGCCCTCATTTTTCTTGTCTTCCAAAACAGAGAATTTACGAGGACACTCCAAAAAAGTTTACAAGCCGAGAACAAATTACTTGTCAGCTGACTATCGACTTTCCCATCGAATCATCAACGAGTGGAATTCACTACCTCAGCACGTGGTTGAGGCTCCATCCGTCGACTCTTTCAAAAGAAAGTTGGATCAACTGAGAGACCACCATTGCCAGGACTAACATAGGCCATCGAGCCTCTTGTCCTTCCCAAACTGAAACTGAATAAAGCCAAATATATGCAACGAACTTCGATTGGTCTAAAATAATAAACTTTGGGTCAACACAGACAGCGAACAGCCCTCCCTGGCACAAGTTAAAAGACATTTTGGGGAGGCGAATCCCCTTGAGATGGGGCAATTACTGATCACGAAGAGGATATCTTCAAAACTAATTTGCTATCGATCAACGAGCAGTACAGATTTCTGATTTACACAAACCTCAGAAACAGGAACTAAGGTACCACTGTTGGGAGTGAGGACTGATACAAAACATTTGACCTTTTTGTTGGATTTGCGAAACGTTAGAACCCTGGAACCAGGATATTCGTCTGCTCATGATTATTATTTCAAGGCAGTAAGAGGATTAACGGCCAGTGAAAATCCACTAGAGCGTTACCAAACGACCATCAAGCTGAGTCTCTTTAGAATTACATAATAGATTATTGTGCGTCGGATCATTTATCAAACATTATCAAGATCGGGGATGACTTAGGTAGGTCAGTCGGTCGCATCTCATGAACAGGCGCATGCAGCAGTGGTCTTTCTCTGTATTTCACTAACGTGTTCGTACAAGTGC